GCAAAAAACAAAAAATTCAATCATGGATTACAAAAAAAAAACAAACATTTCGATCATGGATTACAAAAAAAATGTATTACAAAACATTCGATCATGGATTACAAAAAATTCTATCATGGGTTACAAAAAAAAAAAAACAAAAAATTCGATCATAGATTACAAGAAAAAAAAACAAACATTTCGATCATGGATTACAAAAAATTCGATCATGGATTACAAAGAATTCTATCATGGGTTACAAAAAAACAAAAAATTCGATCATGGATTACAAAAAAAAAAAACAATTCGATCATGGATTACAAAAAAATCGATCAAGTATTACAAAAAAATCTATCATGGATTACCAAACAAAAAAAAAAAAAATTCCGTATGGGACTCGCCGATTCACGGTTCGAACTCGCCGATTCCGTACAGTGAATTGGCGATTCACTGTACACTAGAACCGGACGATTTCCGATTTTTTAACCGATACGATCCACTTTTTGCGATTTCCGAGTCGAACCGGGCGAGTCCGGTTTGACTCGGCGTTTTTTAAAACACTGGTTATACTTATTCTGTTGGACTATATAAACATTTTTCTTTCTATTAGGCCGCCCAGGTTTTGGGTGACCGCCTAGGCATTGGGCGGCGGGCCGCCTAGGCGCTGGCTAGCTTTTTGAAACACTAGGATGATAATAGCATTAGCACTGATCCAGTGTCAAGTTTTTGCTCACAATGTGCTTGGAGAAATGGTATATAGAGATAATCAAGCAGGTACAATAAAGTAGATGTCAAGGTTATATATAATCCAAATAAGTAAAAAGCTAGCAATGCATTTGTTCAAACTTTCAAATAGTTGAATATTGAAATTTCTATTTTTTCAGACATACCCTTAGTGAATGAGAAAGATTCAATTGTGACAATTGCAGTACAGGTACCAGGTTGAAGTGCAATGCTGACCTAACCAAAATAATTGAAGCAGTTGCCTGTATTTTGTGTGACTTTATTACATCATATTTTAGTGAACTCTGATACTGGAGATACGTGCTGAGATGGTTCTTTTATATTACATGACATAGATACGTGTGTCATCATCTGACAGATACAAGTGTCAAAATGCCTACCCCATAATTAGCTTCTTGGACACGACACATTTGTAGATCATTTAGATGAAGAGGGATGCATGATTTTAGGTGATATTAAAGTATTTTATAAGTGAGATTTCAACCAGAAAATTAGCAAGAAATGTCAAAGTTTCTAAATGTTCATGTTTCTAAAGTGTTAGACACAGTGTTTTAAAATGCGGCCGCATCAGGCGGGTATGTAGTGGGCAGCACATCTGGAATGACTGCATTTGCGGTTTGGAGGTATGCGGGAGCATATGCGCCGCATAGGGCATCGCCCTCATGTGGGCGCATAATTTCTGCCTTGTTATTTTCAATTGTGCCCCTCAGGGATGGGAAAAATGGTCTTTTTGACCATCAAAAATTGGGGAAAATAGTTGGGGGGGGGGGAGGGGCATTAAACCCCCTAAACGAGTATTTACAGCCACTTTCGTGGATTTTTTGGCATCAAATCGAGAAAAAAAAAAAAAAGGGCTAAAATTTTTTTTCGTTGAGATCTTTGGATTTGGGGATTGTTTGATACTTGGATATTGATTTGAACCTTTTGGTTGTTGATTTGGGGAAGTTTAAGTAAACTTCCGACAAGAAATCGAGGGTTTCAAAGGCCATGAAGAAATCAACTCTCGAGATGAAAGATTGACTTCAAATTTGAAAAATTGACTTTAAATTTGATTCTCATGATGACTTCTATGATGAATGGATGATTGTATTAGCTATTAACTCTTTTTGAGCTTGACTTCAAAACTCTTTAATCTTCATGAAGACATGGACTTTTGGTTTGTAGCATCATTATTTTGCAAATTTGTGCTTATGGTTGTTTCAAGTTTCTATCAAGGGATAGTGGATACAGAATCTCCAACAGCTAATATTTTTGGAGTTAATCATTAAGCTAAAATACCTACTATCACATATATCACCTCCATATTTTTTCTATGCATTAACCTATTTTTTTAGATTTTTTAGAATTTTTATATATTTATTGACTGCATTGTTGCTATGTACCCGCATCCGGACCTCATCCAGCCGCATCGGCCCCCCCCCACTGCTTTTGGCCGCATCTCGCATTTTAAAACACTGGTCAAACACAAGTGCCATGTCCTTAGTATGTCAACATGAGCTAGAAACTATAGACATTCATGTGTATTTTATGTAGTGTGCTAGAACCCAATGGAGTACGACATAGTCGAAATATGTTGGATTCATTACTGTTCAATACAATGCATGGTGAGGGAGAGAGATTGGAAGCTAGTGGAACTAGGTGTGAACCAAAATGGCTTGTCTCACTTACTCTTGCTATCATTATCCATCATTTTATTTGATGATGTGGTGCCAATCCATGAATTTCGAGTTGAAAGTTATACATTGCATTGTGGTATACTTCTCCTTACAATTGATGTTCTTGTTTGATTTTAGTGATATGCGGGATCATCAAATGCTAATCCTAGTGAAATTTGAGAATGGGGCTGGGTTTGTGGTGGTGGTACCACCTAAGCGCAAGTTAAAGGTCACAGCCTCCATTCCCATTGACACTTTAAAAAAATTGACTTTTTCGAAATATGGGTAGGAGCCTATAATCCCCAGCGATCGACCCAAAAAAAATATATCCTAGTAAATGACTGCTATTTGATTTGATTTCCTTTCAGGTACAATTTTGATCCCAAGTTCCTTCAGTATGTGTCTTCAAAGATATGCAATGAGGTCCAAGGTGTTAATAGAGTTGTGTATGACATAACCTCAAAACCTCCATCAACAGTCGAATGGGAATGATAGGACGAGTCAAACATCCAAAAAAAGGCCTCCAAAGAGCGAAAGAGGGGAAGAAAGATCATTTGGTCATCTCATTCTCTTTATGGAACACTAGAAAAATGGAAAGATCATTTGGTCATCTCATTCTCTTTATGGAACACAAGAAAAATGGGTAGTTTGCCAATGGCATATGATGTCTTCAGTTTTTCCATGGGTAAAAGTCTTCTGGAAAACTGCACGGCAAGATAAAAATATCGACTTTTAGATGTTAGAAGACCAACAGATAGGTTTGGTGGAATTAGAGAGATCTGGCGAGATCTTGCTTGATGTCAGAGGTATGATTTTTTATTTGCAGAGGTACGCATAAATATTTTTGATTAATGGTAGTTTTCGTAGGTTGTTAATTATTGAGTTTGGTGTTGTCTCTGCCTTTGCCTCCTATATGACATCACCAGACAAATTCACGAGAATTGCCATTGATTTCAGAAAAGAATACCAGACAAATTCACGAGAATTGCCATTGGTTTCAGAAAGTAATACCAGAGTGCTTCTAGTTTAAAATATTTCTTGATTGAATTTTATGGTTTCTATTGTGTTTTCATTCGACGATAAGTAAAGAGCCTAGATATTAAGAAACAAGTGATTGCAAGAACATGTGGGCCTGGGCCACTTATGATGAGTTATGTTTGAAGCTTGCAAATGCCTTATTTTGAGCAGTTCACTTGTTTCTTATGTTGAAGAGGAGTTTTTTGGTATCTTATGTTGATGAGCGCCAGGCCTTTCATGGTGAGTAATGCTTGCACTACAAGATATTGTTCTTTGATTTTCTGTGCTAAAAAAAAGAAAAAATATACTCGACAAGTTTGTATATTAAGGTATCATTGGGTTTCCTATAGTTTCCTAGCACATCTGGCACACTGGATTTACAAGTGGATATTTGGTGCTTCTTGTTTGTTCAAAATCCGATGAATTTCGCGATTGAGTTTGCGTGGAAGTATGGCACTCGTGCGGTCTCTTGTTGATATCTGATGGTTGGGAACTTTGGAAACTTCGTTAGATTTCTCAATTCATTGCTATTTAATGAATGCTACTATTCTAGGACATGGGGAATGTGTAGTTTCCAGTTGTAGCTCATGGGTTTATTCACAAAAGCTACTTTGGAAATGGGATGAGATCCTAAGCTTCACAGGCGATCACCTCGACCACCCGGATTATGAATCTCAAAGAAAAAAATAAGAACTTAGAGCGAAAAAAAAGGTCCATCTTGTGCTTTTTAGGTCCATTTGTTTTGAGGTTTGAAAGATTAACCGGTCTACACAATTTTTGGACCTCCAATTTCAAAATGGAAATTGATTTGCTGTTATTTAGAATGTGTTTTGAGTATTAAAATCATTGAAAATCAGGGCTAATGTTTTACCCTTTTTCAAATGCTCCAATTTATGATCATTTGTGTTTTCATCGGCATTTTAAAATTAAATCAAATGGTACAGGTAAAATGATAAAATACTGCATCTATGAGGTTTATTTTGATAATTCCTATCTAAAAAAAAATTCAGGAGAGGGAAAGAAAGTCAAGATGCCATCCATACCAAGTTTTAGGGTCATTTATTTTTCAAATCAAAGCTATTGTTGCTATAATTAAACGCAAGCTGTGCAGTGCTTTATATCTAGAATGTGTGGTGTATGGTGGAGAGTTGCTCAAATAATTCACCAAGGAATGCCATAGTTAAACACAAGTTGTGCAGTAGTTTAATCTAGAATTTGTAGTGTATGGTGGAGAGTTGCTTTAATAATGCACTTAGAAATCCCAGAAATGGTATGGCCCTTTTGGACACACAGTGTTCTATAATATCCGGGACTGAAAAATAGTAATTTGGATTCTCATTACAATGGGAAAGCATTATTCTACAAATGGGTTCCACCTCTTCATCATCGACCACCACTTGAATGGGGGTTGATAATTTTAAGGCATGTGAATTCCTTGGATTCATAGCATAATTTCACTTCAGAAAAGAGAAAAAAATAAGGATTCTCTATAAAGAGATCTTTTATTTTTCGTACATGGAGGTCGCAATCATTTTGTCCTTTAAATTTTAAAGAGAAACTATCTTTTTATTTTTTCTTTTTAATTTTTATATATCATGAGATCCAAAAATTGAAAATATTAAATAAATGATATCCTATTCAAAAATTTTGTCTTTCAAAACTCTCTTTCAAAAACTCAAAGTTGTTGAGAAATTCCCCTCTGTACATCGTCTCTTTCTCCTCTCTCTCTCTCTTTCTCCTCTCTCTCTATCTCTAAGAAGAGATGGCCGAGCATGATTGGGTTATTCTGAACACCATGAAATCTATGTCTATTGGTGATGGCGTTATGAGCCTAAGCTTGAGCGAAGGGGAATGTGAGCTCATGTATATGAGGGCTAGGTTTGAGCACAAGGTGGGTTCCAAGGATACAGAGTCTTATCATATTTTGAACCCTAATGGTTTAGGAGGGCATGAGCTCAGTGTGTTCTTGATCAGGTCAGGGTAAGATGAGGTTTTGTCCAATGTGTTTTTGGCCGAATTAGACCAAAAAGTGGGGCTCTGAATGGATTCTTGATGTGGGTTTCGGGTGCTTTGTTTAATTAGGTGCTGGTTTGATTCTTGATTTTTTTTTGGGTATAATTACTGTTGTAGTTTTATGGATTTTATAGTGAAATTTGGGGTAGAATGGCTGGATTTTGGCTAGAAAGTTAGCAAAATAGGTTGGTTTATGGTGGTGATGGGGAAATTGTTGGTTTATTAGATGTATTTTTTTGAGTTGAGCAGGGTGCCGGAATTTATTATCCGATGATTTGGCCTGAAACTTTTGTCGGAAAATGAGGATTAATGATTTTCTTGATGTGGTTTGTGTAATGGTTCAGTTGGGATTCTCTTTTTAGCCTACGTATCTCTTCTTTTTCATTACTGAAAATTGGCATTTTTTCTTAGAAAGCGCTCGTAGTTTTTGGCTGTTTTCCAGAATTTCTATCTTTGATCAGAGGTCACCCGTTGTGTAAATAGAGCTACTACTCGGCATGAGTAAATAGAAGTGCAGTGCATTGGAACAATTATTCTTAAAACTGTGTGCTGATCTTTATTTTAGTTATGTTTATTGGTGATTTTATAGAACTTTGTAGACGAATGTAGAGGGGAAATTTCTCTGTAACTTTGGGTTTTAGATTTTAGAGAGAAAGAGAAGGAGTTTTGAAAGAGAATAAAAGTTTGAATAGGGTGTTATTTGAGTATTTTTTTGGGTATAAAATTTATGGTCAAAGAGGTTGTAAGGTAGAAAAGATGGAGATTTTTTGCTTACAAATAATGTTTTCAATTCTTTGGTCTTATGCGATATAAAAGTTAAAAATAAGGCATAAGGAGATATTTTCCCAATTTTAAAATTGGTGGTTGTAAGAGTGTCATTGAATAGATAGTTCCAATTGTTTTTTTTTTGGGACTTTACTACTCACCCCAAATCATCCATCTAATTTGGCATCTAATGAGTGGAAATGATTAATATGGTTATGTTTTCCAGATTAGGCAAGTATAATATGATCTACATGGTCATAACAACTTAATGATAGACATTGGTCAATAGGGGTGGCAATGGACCTAGACCTGACTTGGGAGCTTAGGGGTAGAATCGATCTGGGTCGGAGTAAGCCTCGGCCCGGATCCAGACCCGACCCTACCAGTTGCCATCCCTATTGGTTGAGATGGGTTCCATGGTATAGTTTCATTGAATTTGCTGTGGGGGCCTACTTTCTCCTGTCAATGTCCAACCAATTGTTTGGACGATGATTAACCCATTGATCATTGTTGTGACTACAACCATAATTGCTTGGATGATGATAGCCCCTTGATCGTTGTTGTTACTGCACATTTTATATGTTTCAGTTTTAATTGGTACTGAGATCAATTGTAACACAGTTTTCCATGTTTGGACATGACCGTAATGGAAGTCCCGGTGCCTTCTCTTCATCAGCGTCCACTTCCAAGCGAATGTTAACGACCTCAAGGATTATTGACTATGATTGTTCTGTACATTCCTTAATAGATGATGCAAATCATTTACTTTTGATTCAAGGATGTCACGATTATCATTGATAACTAATTAGATTTGAAATCGAGTAGTTGTGGATGTGCTATTGAGTGGACACAAAGTTTCCAAGAAAATGTCTTGAATGTTGTGATATATTTTATCTATTAGATTTTACATTCAATTACCAAAAGTGATTGTGACTTTTTTGTATGAAAAATAAAATAGTTTCGTAATATACAAAGGCAAGCTTAATATACAAAGGCAAGCTTTCTATACGTCCCCTTTCATATCCAACTATCCATTCTGGATGGACAACTGAGATGACCCTAATCACAATGTCATGCATCGACACTAATTTTTTTTATTTTAGGTTTTTTTTTCTACAAAATATTTGGACACCAAATTTTGGGACCACTCTCTTAAACTTACACTTGTAAAAAATCATCATCATCATCATAGCTTTTTTCCTATTAATTGGGTCCATTTTGTTCTATTTAAGGTCATATCCTCAATGGGGCCCCCATATTTTTTTTTTCTTGCACCTATAAAAAATATAAAACAAATATTCTCCATAAAATAAAATGGCCAAAATGCCCCCAAAAGTTTCAAGGGTATTATGGGCATTTTATCTTACCGAAGAAAAATTTTAATTATTTGTTATAAGTTCACCTATTGAGATGATGACATATACCAAATTGCATACAAGTGCAATTTTAAATTTTTTTTTTTAATAAAATACTCTAAATCATCAGATCTAGATCAAATAGTCAATGGCTCACTTGATGAAAATTGGATGGTTGGATGGGGGAAGTATAAATCTTCCATATAGTAGGAGAAGTATAGAGAACTTTCCAAATATACAATCACATAAATAATTAAGAATATCAGATACCATATTGGGTGGGTGGGTGGGTGGGTGGGTCGGTGGGGTTTAATTACAAGATGAGAACACGTTGTTCTTAAATTACGGGTGGCACCCCCCCTTCCCTAGTTTTTTCTCCCAAGTTACCCCTTGTCCGGTAATCGAACATCTGACGTGTGAGTTTTTCATGTTTAAATGAAAAGAAGCTGTCTGATATTCGAAATATTGAACAACTCCTTAAGTTTTTTTAGTTTAAAGCAGTGGTTTAAAAAACGGGTTCGGCCCTAGATTGGGCACCCAAAAAGCCCATCCGGATCGGTGAATTAGCTGTTCGGATCGTGAATAGGCCGAATCGGTTGGAATAAACCTTAAAAAAAAATCCAATTTTTTTTTTGAAATTCATTATGAATGTTGTTTTTTAAGAGTCCAATAAGAAATAGGAGTACTACATTATTAACTTTCATTAATATGCGAATATTGAGATGTTCGTTCTCTGTATGAACTTATGTTAACCATTAAATTTATATCACACAAAAGAAAAATCATAAAATTATCATGGATGAAGTATGTAATCATACATGGACTACAATAAAGAATGAATTAAATCGATGAAAAATGACCACCAAAATCTTGAATTGGCGGAAACCCTAATCCGCTAAAAAAAACAAATTATTACAACCTAACTAGATATAATAAAAAAATTACAAACCTAACTAATTATAATATTATATACTGAAATTGAAATTGTTGGTTTACATTTTATAATTATTTTATTATAAAACTAATAACAAATCCAAAAT